CCTCACAATTTCTTGTTTACATCTTTTCAAACGGGCATGGGTTAGTAGGAACGCAGCGCCGGTGCACTTCCTCATGATTGAATTCTTCGACTTCAACTATCATTCGACATTTTTTCTGTTTTACTTGTTGATTTTTTTTTTCTGGTTATTGGCTTCCCGATGAGGGGCTTTTGCTTCTGGTGGGGCCTGGGTTTTCCGGGTGTAACGGTTGGGGTTTTTTTTTTTCGATTGAAGTGCGGAAATTTATTGTTTTCAGGTTGTTGAAGTTATTTGGGTTGTCGATTGTTGATTAGGGGACGGAGAGGAATTATTCAATCCAATTCAGTAGTAAAGTGGTAAAACGGGTCAAGTTGGCTTATCGCCCAGTTGAGTTTTTGAGGAATATTTCCGAATCTAAGGGAGATAACGAAATTTTCATAAGTACATTTGTTGTTGCTATCAATCGGCTGTACAAAAAAGGTTATAACAGAAATTTTTCTATCTCTCTTAGATTCGGAAATACTCGTCAAAAACTCAAGTTGGAGATGAGTCGACTTAAACCGGTTTACCACTTCGCTGCTGAATTATTCAATCAAAATTACAGACATTGAGATAAATGGGCCCTTGATTTTTTAGTTAATTGGAAAATTAATTTGTTTGGGACTTTAATGTGGATTTTTTATTGGAAATTCGACAGAGTTGCGACGTATTTATTATTTGAATTTAAAACGCGGGAATAGGAAGACGAAATTGTGTCTTGAAAAAGCGTAATACTGCTTTAAAAAATAATTATAGTCACATGATTTTTCATTTCGCTCGCATTTATCTCTGGGTTTTTCCATGTGCCAATGAATTATTCCAGGTGATTCCTCTATCTGGCGACCCAAATTTTTCAGTCCCCTGGATATTTTTTTAAAGTTGGCGTAAGTAAAATTGTGGTACGCTGATTACGTTTTTTTTCATTTGTGTTTATTTAATTTTTTCATTTTTATATATTTTTTTTATGAGTTGACTGAGTTGATTGAAATACAAATGGGAAATTGCTTTCCTCACAACATAGTACAACAATATAAATATTTTTTTTTTTTTTTTTTTTCAACGTGATTTGCCGCGAGGGGTTTGCGACTGGCCATCGCCCGAAGGCCTTCAGCCGATAGTCAATATATTTTTACTAATGCATTAGCAATTTTCTTCTGAATGAAATTTATACGATGATGTATTTTAAATTGAATTCAATTATTCATTGCCCCAATGTCGGCAGTCAACATAGCCCCAAAGTTATTTTTTTTTTGTTTAACTTCCCCTGAACATTAGCTTAAAAATGAATTTTTTCAACAACAGATTATGCAATTAATTTCATGATCGAACCTGGTCAAGACGGCATTGGGAAGATTATTTTAAATCACAATTAGATTCAGTTAAACAATAATTTTTTTAGTTATCGAAAAACGATCGGTCCATACGCATACATAGGGGAGGATGGGGCAAAACGGCCCCCCTTCAATCCTCAATATTTTCCGATTCAATAATCCGATTGGGATGAGTTAGAGCTCGTTTTGAAGAATGAAAAATTATCTTCAAAATGAAGTTGAAAGTGGGAATTTTCACAATGTCATTCACAAGTTATTGACAATTGAAGGGGGGCCGTTTTGCCCCACCCTCCCCTACATACATGCATCATTCGAACTCCTGAGGCCAAAATAAGTTATCTTCACCCGAAAAATTGATAATTTCGGATTTAGCGAATGCAATGCTTCCATCCGGAAGCAAAATTAATTAATCTGTTTCGTTTAGCAACTTTAGTTGATAAATCCTCATGGTCTAATAGCTTTTTTTTTCCTTATGCTTCTCATCGCTAATGCCGGTTTGTTGGTCTTGGGGGTGATATGGGTTATGCATTTATTCATCGGCGCGAGTTGTCGTTTTTCTTTTTTCCTCACTTTTTGCCAGATAGAATTGAACGGAACACAAAACAAGTGCGCGCATACGTTTAGGCTTGGTTTTATTGCTGAGATAAGAGAATGGGCTCATTGTGGGGGGGAGGGGGGGGGGTTACTAAGCTCTCGCATCATCGCTCTGATTGTTATTGAAATTACATGGCGGTAACTGTTTTTTTTTCTTCATTTTTTTGGAGGAGGACGCTTTTATGTTACGAATGCGGAATTGTCTTGGGAATTGGATTTATGGGAAAATGTCGGAATTATTTTGTTCGTCATTAATTTCTGTCGCGAGGCATTACAGCGAT